TCCGTATTCGGATAGACTGGACGTAACACCAAGAGCAAAACGTACGAGTACAAGCCGGTAATCAGACAGTCTCGTGTTGGGGTGAGAGATTTTAAGCGCCGCAGATCGCGGAGTATGATCCAATCAGATCGCACTAGGGGTCAGAGGGAATTTACTTGCTTAAGGTCACGGGTGAGAGGAACGAGACGACTGAAAACGATGGAGCAATCGCACTGTACTTGAGTGTCTGGTCATACGTCCAGTGATTCATATACTACTCATGATGTAGTTTTCTTACTAAAATATTTAAACCTATTTGATGAGTGTAGATAGCTGATTGAGAACACGCGAATTTGATAAGCAGTATTAATTCTCCTCATACTTTGCTACGCGTTTTATTTAAATAAGTCTATTGTGATACCTGATTAATAGTTCACGCTAGAGGAAAGGCGATATCCAGGTAAAGCAAACGTATGTACACTGAACTGCACAACTATTCACTGCTGATGCCGTATAGACCTGCAAACCGAGTTGGAGTTTGCGGAACATCAATAATTAAACACATCATTTTCCCTCGCACGCTGGATCACTAATTCGAAACCAACAGAACAAATGTACCAGGGATTTTCACGTTTCCCGATACACACCGGCGCACACCATACCAACGAATGAGAATTAATACCCGGGGCAGTGACCATGCCGAAAGCATTACGAACCAAATAACATCGAAATCGGACTGTACGGATACTATGAAACTCGTCTAGTTATGTACTTCCGACCAAGGTTTCCGGTGTTCAGATCTTCGTCCGGTCTATCTGTGAGCGTTCAACTTTCCTTTGTTCTATGTTTAGCAGTCCGGTACACTTACGGAACTCGGTTATTTCGTCCCGCCTGTTCTAGCCTTCTGTCATCATCCCGAAACCCACTTTCAATGATGTTCTAGTGTCCATAATTAACCGTGATGATATGCTTTGCTTCCGATTTTATCCGTGGCAAATCAATTGCTCATTTGGTCGAAATTATTCGGAATACGGATGAAGGTCGCGGGTTTTGTGTTCGGAGGAATCCCAAAGTTAATGAACAATAGTGGGGCTTCGATTTCGTCAGAATCTTTCTTTTATGAATGATGAGGTGGCAGTAGGATGAAAGTGTTTGAGATTACTGCAATGCTGATCCAATCACGAACCAAGATCGATTTCCGCCACACTGTTACTCCTCTCATCCTCCCCCCCCCCGCTGTGTAGTCACGAACCATGTAGCTGTGCGCCCAGATAACCGATTGTCCGTTTTTTACAAAACAAATTCCCTAAAACCCAGCCACATTTCCGGTTATGGTTCATTTCTTTTATCCCTCAAGCGCCAGTCTGTAAAACACGTCCGTCCACCCTTCGACAGTAATCTAAAAATATCGTTATTTTCTAAAAATGTTACCCGACACTGGATTTTCCGTTTCCAATAGCTCTTTTGTACCGTGGGATTCATTCCTTCTGGCACAATTTGTGGTTATCCCCAAATAGTGGCTCATTCCAGGCTATGGTTGACATTTTCCACGATGTCAGTCACCACTTTTCGTGCTCATAAATGATTATGCCTCGAAGGTGCTGTCATGCAGAAAAACGATACTATTCAAAAATCGATAAAACAACTCACCGCCTCATAGCTTTGATGCATTGATGCATTTCCGTCCCGGGGATTTTGGCCCCAAGACTGAGAGAGTATTTCGATGCTGATGTTCCGTGGTAAACCGATATATGTATGTTTTAAATGGATGAGCTTGAATCAAATCCGAATTGTTCTGGTCGCAGCAGTCAGAGGCTTCAATTATGCTGTAATCAGATTGATTACCCAAGTGCAGCATTGCTGACTTGCTAGCTGGTGTGAATTTGATGCGATCGAATCTGTTTTCAGACCAGATCAGATAGGATCAGATTGGGCTAATCTATGAAAAACAAAATTGCACCCTCGTGAACTGTTCGGCCTCATTCCTCATTGACAGACCACTGGTACGAACAATGATAATGAAGTGTACTCGAGAAGTGAAATCTGATAGTAATAGCTATAAGTATACCATGCACGTGGTAAGTAAGCCAGATGCATTGCGAATAAGTATTGGGCAGAATCACAAATCAAAAAATGAGTGAGACGTACCTGTACCATGATAAACCCAAGTGCTAGCTCCGGCCGAACAGATCAGGCAAACAGTAGCCACGGTGGCCAAACCAACCGCGGTAACCCGAGCGGCGGCAAAAACACTGTGGTCCCAATATTCCGCGAATTGTTCCGCTTCTGCGGTACTGATATGAATAGCCAATCGAGACTGATCGTACGGAACAATTGCGGTGCTTGTAGGGCCTGTTAACGCAGCTGCTCTAGCACCGAATCCGGACGAGGCCGCGGCCGTTTGTGAGACGCGTGTCGATGTACGGCCAGACGAGGGGGCCGATTCCCCGGGAATATCGGATGTGAGAGGCTGTTGAGCATCACGATCGGCATCTGAGTTCAGGACTTTGGGGTCTATAAACAAGTGGTGATTGGGTTGTTCTGGTTGTTCTTCTTGTTGCTTTTGTATCACAGAGACCGCGGAATCACGACGCAATCCAGTTTGATCACCGGACTCTCGATCCACACTGTGATCCTCCTCCTCTAACGAGACGCGTTTGGTTGGAGGCTTTGGTTTGCCTCGATTGAATTGGGAATCTGGTCCACGGTGCTTAATAAGGGGGATACATGTTGAATGGAACACCACCTGAGTATGACTTAGTTAAAAAAAATGCGGAAAACTTAACACAGGTTAAAAGTTTTAGAATGCGTAGACTTTCCCCGATGTACAGAGCGATGAGAACAGGAGATTACAACACTAATTTAGTGACAACGATTCCGGTTAACACGAAAATCGTAAGTAACTGAGTTAACACTGGATACTTCAAAACTACCCAACTATTTACATATGAACGACTACGCACAACAACAATGATGTAGCACGCCCGAATCTTGCAAAACACACTGACCTAAAGGGCAAATGTTACAGAACACCTGTTCAGCACTGAACGACTTAATATGCCCGTTTCGAAACCCCCAGTCATTTAAAATAAAATGTACGGTCCATTTCCTTCAATCACACGACTATTTTGGTCAATCGCATTTCATTCTTAGATAATCCGAAACAGTCTCTCCCTCTATCCATCTACCTCCGTGGGATCAACTATGGCAGATCGCTAAACGCCGGAGTGGAGGAAATTGAAAGAATAGTATCACATGAACAACGGGTAGAACATAATTAGGCAATAAAAGAGGAGATTTCCCTCCGCTCAAAATACTCGTTCGTGAAATCAAAGCAGTAGTATTCTGACTATCTGCCTCGCCCAACCCACCCATCCCCCGCCCCGCCCCGTCCATCCCCAAACCCGTTCTAAAACCACAGTAAAATAATCAAATTCAAAATTCTTTAAATTTCAGAGTTCGTACGGGGGGCATTCAGCTGCTCCCGGTGCTCGATAGAAAAAAAATGGCATACTGATCCAGGATTTTTATCAATTATCGTGATGAGAGACATGACCACGAGAGAAGGTTTACTGTCCTTGAATCAATAACACGTGTACACCATGCATTTTGACAAAAATATGAGAACACCTCATAACTACGAACGACCTTGTCTATACACCAAAACATAATTTATTAAGAACACTATGTTCGAAACCATTCATTAGATCA